CTCGCCTACACACGTGTATAAGACATCGTCACCACTTGCCAGTCGACGGTCATCCTCCTTAGCTACTGCCCTTGTTGTTGGTTATAGCATCGGCGTACCCTGGTTGCAACATCCTCGGTGTTGTTGCGCGTCCGTTGTAGCTCCCGACACCACTGGTCACCACCATGCCAGTTGCAGCCGCAGTGGCTGCTCCCGTTGCCCACCGCCGTAGCACCACCGCTCGGCATTACTGCATCCACCGCCTATCATTGCAGCAAATGTTGGGAGGCGTAGTAGAAAACAAAAAAATCACGCCTACGCACACCCAAGATCAATATGAAGATGCATAACGGGTTGTGATCACGATCGTTACAGTCATTGAGTTGCAGAACGTGTCGGTGTAGATCGTACTTGGAGTCCCTCCAACCATCGATGAACGATCCCGCTGAAAGATCATGGATGTCGCCTAGAGGGGGGTGAATAGGCGCTTTTAAAATAATTACGGTTTAGGCTAGAACAAATGCGAAATAAACCTAGCGGTTAATTTGTCAAGCACAAAACCTAAAACAACTAGGCTCACCTATGTGCACCAACAACTTATGCTAAGTAAGGTAAACAACTATGTGATAGCAATATATATAACATGAAACACTATGGCTATCACAAAGTAAAGTGCATAAATAAAGGGCTCGGGTAAGAGAAAACCGAGTCAGCGGAGACGATGATGTATCCCGAAGTTCACACCCTTGCGGATGCTAATCTCTGTTTGGAGCGGTGTGGAGGCACAATGCTCCCCAAGAAGCCACTAGGTCCACCGTAATCTCCTCGCGCCCTCGCTCAATGCAAGATGTCGTGATTCCACTAAGTGACCCTTGAGGGCGGTCATCGAACCCGTACAAATGGCAACCCTTGGGGGCGGTTGATGAAGTCATGTACCTAGGGTAGGGTCATGAACCTGTCTAAGGTACCCTCCCGAGGACATCTTTAGATGAAGTCATCTTCCAGTCGACCTAGAGGAACTCCACTCGACTGACTGGAAGATACTCGACGAACTTGAAGACACTCGACCATGAAGACTCACTCGACCACCAGGAGTTCAAGATCTACTCTGTATCCAAACGGTCTGTAATTAAGTAGTCTTTATGGCCATGATGACACTTTATGTAAGGCATTATCAGTAACGCCAGGCCTTAATGTACTTTAACCCTCCGCTACGTGGGCTGGCTGGGGTCTTGGCATCCTCTATATAAGCCACCCCCGTCCACTGGCAGAAGGGTTCGGACCCCTGTAACTCTCACACATATAATCCAGTCGACCACCTCCGGGCACCGAGACGTAGGGCTGTTACTTCCTCCGAGAAGGGCCTGAACTCGTAAAACTCTTGTGTGCACAACTACTCCATAGCTAGGATCTTGCCTCTCCTTAGTACCCCCCTACACTACTGTTAGACTTAGAACCACGACAGTTGGCGCCCACCTTGAGGCAGGTGTCTTAGCGACTTATTGGAGAAGTTGCAATTTTTCCGATTCCCATCATCATGGTTTCAGGTGGAGTTTTGGTTGAGGGCCGCGAGATCCGTCTCGGCGCGCTCACGTTCGTCGCCGACGACTCTGCCTGGCTGCAGGAGGCTCCGCTCGACGTTGACGCGCTCCCAGTCCGCGGAGCTACGCACTTTCGAGCATGCGTCCGCAGTGTCCTTCCGCGAACCGTCGACCCAGTATCGACCGGTTTTTGTGTCATCCTCCCTCCCAGCTTCCCGCCGGCGTAAGCGCTCCGGTCGGTTGAGGCTTCAGCGGTGGGTGAGGCTCGCGGTGGCTCGCCAGTCGACCGTCGCCCAAGTCGCGGCAATCGAGCCCGATGAATCTCTCTACGGCCTGTTCGACCTATCGGCTGGCTCCGCAGAGACTACATCCGAGTGCGACAACAGTGATCCAGCAGCGGAGATCCTGATGGTCAACGGACCGCACGTTCCCCCCGGCTTTCCCGGTGTCGAGGGAGGCAACGGTGGAGGCGATCCATCGCACGTCCATGAGGAATACCTCCCCGAGCCCCTCAATTCGCAGCAGAGGGAAGAACTTCGCCGCCGGAACATGGATGCACTTCACACTCCGATCGTTGGAGAAACCCCTGAGGCTCGCGCCTTGGAGGACGCGCGCTTGGCCAACCTGGCCGAGCGCACTCGACTGGAGAACCTTCAGCGGGCACTCGACGAGCGCGCGCGGCAAAGGATTCCACACTCCAGTCGACGCCAGCTCTTTCCACCTCCGACTTAGGTATATCGAACTCCGATTCAGAATCTAGCAGCTGCAGCCCGTATAGCAGAATCAATTCAACCTTCCCAGTCAGAGGCTGGCAGAGGCTTGATGCAGATCAGAGATTTGCTCCGGGCAGCAGGAGATCAGAATTCAGCTGTATCGCAGTCGCGGAACAGGATTCACAGCAGATCCGTGGCAGCGAATACGGTCCAGTCGGCTCATAGCCCCAGATCGCCCCCGAGGCGTGAAGGGCGTGGTGACCGACACGATCAGTACAGGAACCATGAACAGTATGATCACCGATTCGATCGCAACGATCGACGTCGAGTGCCTACTCCCCCCCCAAGGGGTGGGTCCTATATGCCTCGACACCAGGATGATAGACGCCAGCACAGTGGCGGGCGAAGGATTCCGGTCGACCCCAGGGAACCAGGCTTTGATGCGAGATCCATCATCGTTTAAGGTCTGGTCGACCAAAACATAGCCGTCAGAGAGGGTAACGACAAAGATGTACCCACCAGCAACCGAGTGCATGTCTCCGAACTAGAGTGCTTCAGCAGAGCCATCAGAGCCGCGGTGATTCCTCCCAACTTCAGGTTGGCGACCGGAGTCAGCAAGTTCAACGGTGAGTCTAAACCCGATACTTGGCTTGAGGACTACCGAGTGGCTGTTCAGATCGGCGGCGGGAATGACGAGGTGGCCATGAAGCATCTGCCTCTTATGTTGGAAGGGTCAGCCAGAGCATGGCTGAATCAGTTGACACCCAGCAGCATTTACACTTGGGAGGACCTCTCCCGAGTGTTTGTCAGAACGTTCGAAGGAACATGCAAGCGACCAGCAGGACTGACAGAGCTGCAATCTTGTGTGCAGAAGTCGAATGAGACTTTGAGGGATTACATCCAGAGATGGATCACACTGCATCACACAGTAGAGAATGTATCTGATCACCAGGCGGTCTGCGCCTTCAAGGAGGGCGTAAAGTACAGAGAGCTAAGCCTGAAATTCGGTCGAACCGGAGACATGTCTCTGAGTCGAATGATGGAAATAGCCACCAAATATGCCAATGGTGAGGAAGTGGATCGGCTCCGGAGCGGCAAGCATAAGTCAGTCGCCCAGGAAACTGGAGGAGGGAACTCCAGTCGGAAGCAGAAGCGGAAAGCCGAGCCAGCCGCTCCTGGAGAAGCCTTGGCCGTGACTCAAGGGAAGTTCAAAGGAAAGCCCAAAGGGCCTTGGAACCCCAAAAAAGTAAAAGATAAAGAAGGAAACGACGTGATGGATTTATCGTGTCACATCCACACGAAGAAAGATGAAGAGGGTAA